ATGAACTAATAATTGATGTACTAAAGTGTATATGAGATCAAACACCAACATGTAGCTCTGAGACAATAAGAAAATAATAATTTCTGCTTGGTAGTGAGAACAAAAATAGCAAATAGAATCCATTGCTTTAGAGAGCCCAATCTATGAAGCCTCTGGAGGTTAGGGGATATGCAACATCTATCAGTAGAGCTGTGCAAGTCTGGAATTGAGCCCACAGTTTGTTGAACCACAGGGAGCAGCTGAGTGCCTTTGGGGAGAGTGGAGGAGCCAGCAGCACCCAGCACTATATGTGGCCTATGGGTGTTACCAAAAACATTGTTCCTTTTTTAATGTTGATGTTTTTTCAGGGTTTTGAGAATGCTATAAAGCACTGCAGATCCATTTCTTGCCACTAAACTGAATTTAAGAAATGAAGATTGTTTTAGGAAAGACATACAAACTGGCATTCAGATTTGATTCCCACATTCATGGTTTTCAGCTATCCATACTGACTTTAGACAATTTATTTAACACTCAGACAAATAATCAGCTAGTCAAATGAGTTACCTTCTTATACTCAGTTTAGGTTAGATATACAAAGTTTAAAATAGCATTTCTACACGACAGAGAGCTAAGATTTACTTTAGGAAGAACTTGGTTTTAGAGTTAACTTGTTATTTTCTTCAGCTTTCACTTAGGATTCAATGAAAGTATAATTCAGTTTTGATACCTGTGAATTGGTACTAATAATTCACATGACTCATGAATTCGATGATAAAGAAGCAGTTTCCAGATTGGTGATAAGAACACAGTACATATTAAATAAATGACTTGTACAGATAGTCTTGATCAATTGTGACATCAGTGTACATAAAATATCTGCATATATGTTACAGTTGTATAATTTGGACTTCTTGTGGGACTATTAACAGTGAAAGCAGGTGCTGTCTCTGACTCTTGTGCTGGCTTTTGAGATCCTAATACTCAAACTGGCTTGTCTCATCCAGCTTTTAATTTGATATACCATGTTTGGTTGATATCCATGGAAGCTTGCCTCTCTGTGAATAGAAATGGAGGAGGAATAGATGGGGTGGAGGCAGAGGGGAAGTGATGGGGACTGGGAGTATATAAATAAATAAAATAAATAAATTAAAGTAATATTAAACATTTTACAATTACAAAGCAGTGGAATTCTACCAGTATTTCTAATGGTGGAAGATGAGAGACTTGGAAGACTTCAAGAAAGCTTTGTACTTTCTGTTCTTCTTTGAAGAACGCATTGGTGTGAGAATAAATAGCATTTTGTAAAGGTGTTTTGCATTTTTAAAGTTTTCCCTGAGAAATAACTATGTAATACTTTAATCTGTAAGACAGTTTCCAAACCACACATGATGGAACATACTGAAATCCTGACATTCTGGAATCAAGGTCAGTGGGATTGGTGCAAATTCAAGGCCAGTCTGGTTAATATGTTTCAAAAAGGCAAAATGAAACAAACCAAAATCAAAAGAAAACTTTCTGTCATTGTAACTAATAATGACAAGAATACCAGTATAGCCCCAAAGAAACTTTGTAACTCTTTTTTTTTTTTTTTTTTTTGGTTTTT